AGTCAACTGAAGATGCCCTGTAATTTTGGAGCCTCTACGACCCTGGCGGGGGCACCCTTTTTATCCCAAGCTTCTCAAACTGTTTCAGTTCACAAACTGGGCTAGTTCGATGTTCAGGTTCGCAAACTGGTTCCGGACATGTCCTGGTTTGGTTTGTAAACCACACTGAGGTTTCCCAGTTCATACCCATCCCTAATTATACTAGATGTATTCACAGCAGAAAGGGAGTACCCCATACACAAACAGAATCTAGTGCTTTCACAATATAAGATTCTTATTCTTTCCTTAATTTTGGAAAATACTTGAATAGTGAAGTATTGAGAAAAGCCAACTGAGGCATCGGAAGGAATAACACTGAAGTGCAAAAATACCTTAAAATTTTGTAAGTTAGCAAAATAAATATCCACTAGCATAATTTTGATGATGGGACAAAGAAGCCAGTAAAAATTCTAGTGTGTTGGGTAGGCTTATTTTATCAGATCAAGCTGTACCACTGAAATCCCAGGTAATCACAATCCATTTAATTTTTAATGAGACAGACAAGAAGCTGAATATAACAGAAACTACCCTATCCACGCAAAAGGAAGACATTTTCCCTATTTTGGATTTATAATTGGGGGGTGTCTTAAAAATCTTACATTTTGTGTATATGTGTGTATGAATATATCTACCTCTCTATCAATAAAACATCTTTGAACACTGTCATTGAAATGGCTGACACTCTATTCGATGTACAACATGTTTCAAATTTCCTGACACAGTAAAATTATTTTTAAAGATTACTCTGGTGCCCCTCATTGCAAAAGGCTGTGGGACTATATACAGGACTGAGACAATTCAAAAACATTTGGAACAAGCCTATCACATTGAAAGCACTAAAGCACTCCGTTTGTCAACCCTTCCATCTGTTGAGGCATCACATACTTCTTCTATGGGGAAAACAATAGGCAAGGAAGACAAAGTTGGTGGCCTCCTCCTGAACATTTATGGAGAGGCAAAGAAACTGACTCTGAGTGCATACTCATTTCCTGAAAGAATAGCTGTGAGTAGGTTAGCCTCTGTTTTTTCCTGTAGTACTGCAGAAGTGGCACACAAGACTGAGATGGACTTTCAGTGCTTGTTTCCAAATGCCCACAAGGAATTTCTGCAGTGCATTGTAGAACGTGATAGTGACAGCCTCATCAAGACATTGAGAATACATTGGCGCTGTCCCTGAGGTGTGATGGCACTGTGGGCCAAACCAGAATCAACAAAATTTATGTAATGGTGAAAGTCATTATAAGATTTGGTGATGAAAAGCAGTACTTTCTAGGTGCTAGTGAACTCTGTTTCTCCATATTCTTCACTTCACTTTCTAAAACTCCAGTTTCTTCTTTGAAGGAACCTGTCATCCTTTAAATGATGCTTATTCCTAACTAAATATACCCAGGATTGTAGCCAGAACATCCAAATGATACACAGGCAAAGTTATGTATTTATTTGAGCAAAAACATATTTTTTGTTTACTGCCTTTTGTCCAAAATCATATTTTGTGTGCAGTCTACTGTGTTACATATAAAGCCAATTTCAGTATTTTTCATAACAGCAATATGTCAACCTCAACATGTACAGAAGAAATAGGCAGTACTTTTGCAACACAGTACAAGATCCAGCTAAAGACAAGCACTTTTAAATCCAAACTGATTAGAGTGTGTGAGACAAGATGCTGGACTAGATGGACCACTGGTCTGATCCATCAGTGCTCTTCTTATGTAGAGTGAAACAGAATTAAGCATGTGGTTAATACTCAACTTGGTTTTAACAGTGCATACCTTAAAACTGCTGGATCAGAAACACTATAATGGCTAAAAACTAAAATAATTTATGACTTTTTGTACTGATAAGGAAGTAAGATAAACATTTTCTCAGGTTTAACATGTAAGGGGATGGGGAAATCACATAAATCAGCATACAGATCATATAGTTCAAATAAGTGGCTAAACATATTGTTGAGTCATATCTGTACACTGCATAACGAAAATGCTTCTGCAATGTATGGCATAATGGTTAGCATGTCAGTCTAAGATCTGGAAGACCCAGGTTCAAATCTCTGTTCTGTCATGAAGCTGGGCAACCTTGGACTAGTTACACACGTTTAACCCTAACCTGTGAGAATAAAATGGAGGAGAACCATATCTGCAGTCTTGAGCTCCTCGGAGGAGGGGCAGGGCAAAACCACACCAAACAGATTCTACAAAAGAGACAGTCACTCACACCTTGAGGCAAGTTACTTCCACAAGGGCAAACAGGATTAGACAGATTCATCAAAATGTATCCATCAATGTCTACTAGCAATGATAACTAAAGGGAACTTGTACATAACAGAAGCAGCAAACCTCTGAATACCAGTACTAGGGGGCAATTTCAGGAGAAGGTATTCATTGGCCTTTCACAGCAACTTTGGCCAGTCATTCAAGCAGGAGACCGGTTCTGGACTAGATGGACTACAAGTCTCATCTAGTAAGTCACCTCTTATAACCTTATGTTCATACAGCAAATAACTTGAGGGAAACAACTTCTGTTTAAACCATAGGGAGAGGTACTGTTAATTTAAAATGTGTGAAACAAGGGTAAGATACCTCTGGACAGAATTTTCGGTTCCTGGTACCAGCCATATGTCACAATTCTATACCCTACCGCTCCACAGTGTTAGCATTTAATGCCCATGGTCAGTGTTCCCTCTAAGCTGAGTTAGTGTGAGCTAGCTCACACTAACTCAGCTTAGAGGGAACATTGCCCATGGTAGACATATTTTTCCTGTGTTCCATTATAGGTTTTAGTCAAATTTCAGATATTTTTCTATTTTACTTTTTCCAACAACCTGCAAAATCTGATCTGTTCTGAGAAAGTCACAAGAGTCTAGAACACATGGCCTATATAGCTGTTATATATCACTGCATAAGGGTTCAAAGAAACAGTAGATAGTGAGAGTTTCTTTCATGCCCTTCTTAAGAAGGCTTGTCTAGAAATGGAGAGTCTCGTTATTGTTTATGGATGCATGGCCCTAATGTCAGCAGTTATATTGTGCAAAGAATGAGAAGCAAATTAAACGCTATAGCTAGTCGTTCTGGGTCCAAAGAGCAACATAAATGATCAGGAAAAAATGCACAAAAGTATACTTTTCAACTGGAATAAAAAGCTCCCATGCTTGAATACTTCTGAGAAACAGAAACACAAAGCATTATGTTTGATGCTACATTTTAACATAAATGCTCCTCTCTATATAAATGCTTTATCTTTAGAAAAAATGTATGGAACAAAGGACTGTAAAAAAGGGGGGGAGATTAGGCTTCTGAAGCATTTAATACTTATGATAGGTGACGCTTCACTCTCAATTTTCATATAATTATTGAAAACCCTAATGCATTTAAAAACTGAATATAGCCAGGGAATTGTTTTCTTACAGATGTATACAGGGTTATCTTACAGCTTTTAAGATTAAATAAAATACAACCCCCCCAAATATTTTCATAAAAGCCCATTCAAATTGTACAATAATCTTATAATAATAACTGAACTTCAAGGTGGAAATTTTAGGGAAATAGCTGAAGATAATTTTCTTATGATAGAAACTTGTCTATTTCAAAGGTTCTTTTCCTCTGTAATAGTACAAGCAACAAAAGTGATACCAATTTCCAAAGGCATAAATTATTAAAATCTTCATAAAAGAAGGTGTGTGTGCGTGGGGGGTAGACAATTAGGAAACGCCTGGGAAAAATATTAATTAGCAGCTCTTTATAGGAGCTGATTTTAGTTAATAAAAATGTAATCAATAAGCATAGGCTTAGTATATCTTTATCTGCAAATTCTACTTGGGTAACACACTAAAATAAATGCACCAAAATGTAGAAGGCTTATGCAAGCTATTAATTATATTCCGCATGTAAATGCATAGTCTACTAAAATTGTTTATATTCAGATTAATGTTGCCTTGTAACTTAAAAAGTGGTAATAGTTTGAGGGGTAACTCAAAATCAATGCCCTAGAATATTTCTTTGTTTTCTTGTCATTTCCTTTGTTGTCTAGTGGAGATGGTCTGGAGTATATATATTAAACCACAGTTTATTTTAGGACCATAAATAAATACTATAAATTTACGACATTGATATGTTTATCATTTGGCTTGGTTTTCAAGGCATGGTCAATGAACTGCATTCCAGCTAAACTGAAGTAACCCTAAGTTTACAATGTGAATTATGAAACTTCGAAATAAAATACAAGGTTACCTTAGATTATGGGCTGCTAACAGTAACCCAGTTTACTACAAAGTAGAATATTGCTTTATAAAAAGGGGTCATATCCATTCTAAACAACTGCTTTATGAAATAATGAAGTGAATTATTAAGGATAATTCATTTTTACAATAAAATATACCATTTTATTTTAAAGTCCATTATTTATCATTATTTTTTCTATGCAGGAAAACAGAAACACAGAGCAAGAGCTTGGGGAACATTCCTGACCTATAGATGTGTTTAAAGGCAAAAGGGTAGTAATGCTGTTTTGGCTGTAATCAAAATTTATAGTTTATTCTCTGTGGCTAGGCCTCCAAAAGGGAAGTTAAACAGAGCCACTAGTTGCACAGGTTGCTTCTAGAGTAAACTAACATTACAGAGAAGGAATACTGCATGTGTGACTCCCATTCTTCTCCAGGCGTAGACTCACTACAGTATGAGTTATGGAACACAAAGAAGGATGCTGTTTCTCCACATTATCATATATCATTTCTGTAGCATTTTTCAGCGTACAGTGGGCTTTGCCCTCTTTATCTCACATCAGGTTAGACTGAGATATCATTATTTCTCCAAGGTCACTGAGAAACTTTTATGGCTGAGGGGGTATTTTTACCTAGAATGGATCAAGGATATGTAATTTCACCAGGTCTAGAGTTGCTGAGATAAGCCAGTAACAGTTCCTGGTTTTATTACAGCAATATAAGCAGCTGCAACAAGGTGACATACCTGGTTTTTCTGAGCTCGCATTGCGTCAACTTCGTATTCAGCATATTGTGGATCCTGAGCTGGGTCCCTGACTTCTTTGAAAACACCAATGTTCTGATATCCAAAAAAGTAAATTATCAAATTGTGACATTATTTTGAATTTAACAGGTTTGAGCTATATGCAAATGCACTGTATATTCAAAATAAGCAAACAGAAAAAGATTGTGATTTATGTGCAGGACCACACGTTTTATTTTTTGGAAAGTGCATTTTTAAGTGAATACGCCCCTCTGTATTAACAGCAACATTTTTTAATCCATCCCTCCACTCATTTTTCCCTCTAACAGGTCTGTCTTACAGCATCACTACAGTTTTACTACTTTTGCAACAACCTCTGTTGGTTGCAAAGGGCATTTCATACAGCTGCTACCACATACTCGACAATGTGGGATAGTTGGTGGACTTGAATTAGCCATGACTGCATGGAAAAGGCAGATTTATGAACTGTTCCGTAGGCCACAACAAAGGTCTTTTTTGGTGTTAAGACAGCAATTTGCATAACTGGTTCTTCTCTTTGATCAGGTTGCAAGCCTGTTGGAATATTCCCAGAAGTAACTGAATGGGGATGGTAGTAATGGACCAGCAAAGAGTTCTCTCAGTCAGAGTTGGATTTACTATCACAAAAATTAGCCTAAAAAGGTTATATGAATAAGTCTACCTGGAAAAAATTCAAATGATATTGCAAGACAGGCCTAAGTCTACCTTAAGTATATACAGTATTTTCTGACAATAAGGTAAGAATACAGAGACTACTTGCAGAACCACACAAAAGCCCAGGATTTTTATATGAAGTTGCAGGTACACTTAATTTAGTTTTACCAGAAAATCACTGATGTTTTGCATAGAAAAAGACTGTGTTTACACAACTGCAAGCCTATACATAACAGGATTTTTATATGAAATTGCAGGTACACTTAATTTAGTTTGTTTTACCAGGAAATCACTGATGTTTTGCATAGAAAAAGATTGTGTTTACACAACTGCAAGCCTATACATACCTGGAAGTCCCACTAAAATTAACAGGGCTTTTTTCTGAATAATCTGAAACTATGCTGAATGGCTCACTGAGGTAAAAAGGACTGAAGCCCTGGGCACATAATTTAGCCCTCAGGAGCAACAAATGCTATAAAACACTTCAAAGAAACAAAGATTTATGCCTACCTTAGGTGGAAATTTCTTTTCAAATACTTTCTTCCATAGATCCATAGGTGTCTGTGCATGCAACTTCCCAATATCACTATCGGAGGCAGGAGGAGGTCCTAGCAATCATAAGATTATAATATTTACTCCATCATTTCAAAGAAATGTAAAGTGTGTGGCTCAATCTATTATCAATAACAAGAGTGAGAAAAAGAACTATAAAATCCCCTGCATGCAGAGCCATTAACAAGCATGAAATGAATTCTTGAGCGCAAGCGCTAATTAACTTACAACTATGAAAGTATTAATGCATAAAAGGATAGATACTACAAATGAAAATAGCTGTGCTGACAAAACTTTATGATCAATTTCTTCACACATGGATACATTTTGAAGAGGATTAAGTATTCACTCTTCACTGCTGATTTGTCCCATACTCTCCCATTTCTAAAAGCTATCTGGGGGAAAATACTAGATAAAAAAATTACCAACCTATTTGACTAAAAGAGTCCAGTCCTGCTGGGATAAAGAGTGGTTTATTCTGATCCACTGACATGGATTTGCTTTAAAAGAATATGAACAGAACACCAGCAAGTTAATATCAGCTACTCAAAACAATTAAAAGCAGCTAAAGTACACCTATGGGCACTGAAATCAATGGATCAAACATACACTACATGCTTAACAACTAGTGATGGGGCTTAGGCAGACTTTTGCTGGATTGTGCCTCAAGGCTCTAGCTGTTGAGAAGCTTTCTGCCTACTCAGAGAAACAGTGCTGGCTTAGATGCTACGTTACTGAATGTGCAATCTTAAACACAGTTATACTCTTCTACACTTGCTGACTTCATTTAAAGTGTGGTTTCTGCCACTAAGTCACTTGTCCTTCCCATAAAAGATAGACTACATTTTTTGCAACTGTAACTTGCCTGTTTAGGATTTAAACCCTGGACCTCTGGTAGCCAAAGTAAGATACCCCCAGAACACCCACTTTTTAAAAAGCCCTCTGTCTACTCAAACAGTTACCAAAATAGAAAACATAAACAGTCCTTGAAGCAGGCAGCTAAGTTCCCAGAAGAACAATTCTATAATATACATGCATTCTGAAAAACGACAGTATTCATTCAACAGAGGACTTTGAGAGACTCTAAAATGAGTAAACATATTTAAATATCATTTATATAAAAGAGACATAGGCTGACGTGTAATAAAGAGTATTTTGCAACAAACCTTCTATCAAAGCCAAATGCTAAATGGTTAATAAGTGCACGTGTTTTCAGCAGCAGAGCTTCTGATTTGCTGGTAAACTGAAAAAAGAACCATAAAACTTATATTATGGTCTTCTGTAGCAAACATGGTAACATACTGATGCATAACAAAGTCATTTGCAAGATGGATTTTTATAGTCAATATGCACCAATTTGTACACCCTCTTTCATGTGGTACAGTGCCATTCTTTCCCAGTTAAGAGACAGATACTTTTCTGAAGAAAAAGAAAAAGACTATGCTATGAGAAGCTGCGTGTAAGAAAACCCTAATTACCTGCTTTACTGAAATAGAACATTCACTGATGCATGCGGGGGGGGGGGAGGGATAAGAAGAGTTCTGATGGATCAAAAAAGTGGTCTACCTAGTTCCCAACCTAAGGTTTTTGGAGCAAGGGTAGGAGTAGGACACAAATGTGATAAATAAATAAAACATATGTTTGATCTTAAATGGTTGTCTTCCACTTCTCAATCTACACTGTTATTTACAGTGCACACAAATAAGTGTAAGAAATGCAATCCAACCCCATTGTCTGTTTTTACCAAATTACATTTTAGGCATTCTGAGTTGTGTTACAGAAAAGAATAAAGGAGGCACCTCTGTTTTTACCAAATTACATTTTAGGCATTCTGAGTTGTGTTACAGAAAAGAATAAAGGAGGCACCTGAAGATAATGTTAGCTAGTGGTGCTGGCTGACAGGACCTCAGCAACCACTGGAAGCATCAAGCGGGCTTGTTGGAGAAGCAGAACTGAGGTGCATGCTTGCCTGAAGATGGGTCTGAGGGGAAGGAAACTGCTATCTGGACAATGCCAGTTAACTGCCCATTCTGATAATCAAATGCCAGAGAACAAAACTTTTACTGTATTATTGTTTTATTTTCAACCCCTTTCCTAATAGACAATAGACGTTTCCTTTTCTATGCTGATGCACACAAAGTATTTTTCCCAGTGAAAATAATGGGAATAGTTGAGTTATGCTCATAAAGTATAGTAATATGCATACCACTAAAGAGGCTCCATAATAATGAGAAACAAATCGAAGAGTCTTATGTATTATTTTTTTCACTTCAGAGTCAAATTCCTAGAAAAGAATGAAGAGAAAAAGATTTAGCTAATAATTATCTAGTTTTTAACAATCTAAAATAACAATATATCTCATATTCACCACCTTAGACATATGCAACCCACTACATGCCTCCATCTATCAACCCAACCAAATCAAACAATCCATTGTGTATAGTCAAGACCTACATTATAGTCACATCTGCTCCAACCCCTCAGACAGAGATACTCACTTGAATCATCTACAGCAGGCATTTTTTGCAACTAAAATATCCTTCCTGATATGGTGAGAAAGATGACTGGAAACGCCATAATGATACCTAGGGACAGCTTGCTACAAGACAAGCCCAAAGAAAATGACAACAGAACACCACTGGTGGTCACCTACAGCTCACAACTCAAGCCAGTTCAACGCATTATTAATGACCTACGACCCATGCTGGATAGTAACACTTCCCTCACACAGGCAATGGGGGGCTGACCTTTTCATGTTAGACAGCCTGCTAACCTAAAACAACTTCTCACCCGCAATTATAAATTACTTAACAGTAACATGGAGTCTGGAACCAAAGCCTGCAACAAACCAAGACGCCAACTTTGCTCTCATACTGATCCTAGCAACATCAACAGTGGACCCAGCAACATCAGCCCAAAGCATCTGTCAGGGTTCCCAGTCAATCACACTCAAAGCATCTGTCAGGGTTCCCAGTCAATCACACTCAACACTAGGTCTTCAGTAGATTCAGTTTACTGAGAGGGAAAGTACTTGAGACACCATGAACTCTTGTGTCAGGAATGGCAGGAGAGGCGTGGGGCTTTAGGGATACACCCCCTTCAATGGAGACCCCCTGATACTACAAAGCCAATAAGCAAGTACTATTACGTGCGGGCAAACACCCAGCCATTAGGTTCCCAGCGGGAAGCTCGGGGAAGAAGCACCTCTAGTCTCAAGGACACCTGCAAGATAAGCGCTAGCAAAGGAGAAGTAGTGGGGGAGGCGAGTGAGCACATCCCTTTGACAGAACATTCCAACCCATGGCAGTATTAGCTGACAGCATCTCAGGTTTATATTCCTCCTCATCCTCTAATATGATTTATGCCATCACATGTCAGCAATGCTCTTCGACCCGCTACATTGGACAAACAGGCCAGTCCCTTTGACAAAGAATCAATGGACATAAGTTTGACATTAGGAACCACAACAGTAAAAAACCAGTGGGGGAACATTTTAACCTTTTAGGATATTCAGTTGCAGACCTCAGAAGAGCAGTTCTCTTACAAAGGAATTTCAAAGGAAGATTAGAAAGAGAGACTGCTTAATTGCAACTGATAATGAAGCTCAAGACAATCAAACCCGTGGACTGAATTGAGACCTAGGTTTCCTGTCTCATTAACAATGCTTATTTCTCCACATCTACTACCCCTCTGCATATCACACCTAATCCAATCACATCTGCTATTGTCATTCACCTGTTATTGTCATTTGGCATCTGAAATTTCTCTACTTTCCAATAATTAGGACAGATGCTCACATTCTAGCTGTATCTGAAGAAGCGAGCAGTGACTCATGAAAGCTCACACCCTGCCACAAATTTTGTTAGTCTTTAAGGTGCTACTGGACTCTTGCTCTTTTCTACTGTAACCTACTACATATGCCAGTTTACCTAGCCCAAATACTCATTCCACATGTATAGGCATTTGAAAAATCATGGACAATGACCCTAAGTTCTGTGAGCAGCAGAATACATGGAAGAGATCTTCCTGATTACCACCTTCCAGCTGCAGCTTGCCTTCCTCCCCCAAATTTTGCTACCAAAGGGGTGAGCAGGCTCCTGGGAAAAGCATGTAAGGCAAAGCAGAAGTCTCCATTGTGATGTGGGGAAAAAACCATCTCTTCCTCTTACATGCAAGGAGATGCTTTATTTCAATAAGCTATGTTCTTATGCAGAATTTCTCCAAACAGTAAAAGGCCTCAATGTTTTTCATACAAATCTTATAACTAAATGAGGCTGGTGATTATTTCCACATTTCTTCAGTGACACAGTAATATCTAGGGATGCTGCTGCAGACTGGATGTTTTCAAAATTCTGCAATACAAATTTCTGATTCTACAAATAAATATTGTCTCAAAATATTAACTCACTTTTTAAAACATATTTTTGGTTAACATTTAGGTTTCCTTCATTAGTTGATACTTGGACTTGGTCATACTTATGCCCAGTAACTTTTACAAAAGATATTTATTTATTTATTTAATTTATACCCCGCCCTCCCTGCCAAAGCAGGCTCAGGGCGGCTTACAGGCCCATTGCCATCATAAAAACATTAAACAATAAAAACAAATTAAAATCACAAAAGCATATTCAGAAAGTGCTACATATACACAATGGCAGAATGACTGTCCTTATCGTCCAAATGGGGAATCTGGTCAGCAATGAATATATGACTGATGTCTGGCTCCTTGACACATAGTTCCTTAGTGTGGGCACAGATGTTAAGAGCCGGCAGCCAAGAGTGGATTATAGGGCATAGGTTCCTCGGTTAATGTTGGACAATTTGATGTGGCATCACAATCAAACGCTTGGTGGAAGAGCTCCATCTTGTAGGCCCTGCGGAATTGACAAATCCCACAGGGCCCTGATGTCCTCAGGGAGCTCATTCCACCAAGCGGAGCCGCCACCAAGCCAGCCAGCCTGGCATCTTTATGGCTGGGGAGAGGAAGGAGATTTTGTGATCCTTACCGCAGTAATCTCTGGGGAACATATGGGGAGAGGTGGTCCCTAAGTTACGCAGGTCCCTAGCCATATAGGGCTTTATAGGTAAGAACCAGCACCTTGAAGCGAACTGGTATGCTATAGGTAACCAGTGTAGTGCTTTCAACACAGGCTGAATGTGTTCCCTCAAAGGGAGATCCAGTAACAGCTTGGCTGCCACATTCTGCATCAGCTGTAGCTTCCAGATTTAGGACAAGGACAACCCCATGTAGAGAGCATTGTAGTAGTCTAGTCTCGAGATGACCATTACGTGGATCACTGTTGTCAGGTCATCACGTTCGAGGAAGGGAACCAATTGCCTAATCCGCCAAAGATGATAAAAGGCCGACTTGGCAGTATCTGCTACCTGGGCCTCAATTATTGAGGCGGCATACAAGAGCACTCCCAAGTGCCTCTGATGTTGGAACCAATGGCGCCCCACTGAAGGTCTGGAGTGGGATCCCTAACCTCAGACCGCCCTGATGCAGACACAGGACCTCCATCTTCGTTGGATTCAGTTTCATTTGGCTCAGCCTAAACCACCCAATTATGGCTTGTAATGCCAGGCCCAGATCTTCCAGTCTTGAGTCAGACCAGTCACTGAACAGCAGATAGAGCTGGGTGTCGTCCACATACTGGTGACATCCCAGCCCATGCCTCTGGGCAATCTGGGCAAGGGGCCACATATAGATGTTGAATAACATTGGGGAGAGAACAGCCCCTTGTGGCACTCCACAAACCAGCAAGTGGCTTCGGACAGCTGCTCCCCTAGCACCACCCTCTGTCCCCAACCTTGTAGGAAAGAGGAGAGCCACTGCAAGGCAGATCCCTGAATCCCAATGTCGGCCACTTCAACCACATATGCTTCTTCAAAAAATAAAACATTTTGCCCCTGACTTATCTGTATTCTTTCTGCCTTACAATAATGTGACTGACCTTCATTATAAAAGTGTTATCTATACTGCATTCAAAAGCAACAAAAACTTTGGCATGGATCCTGCTTAGATTCCCGCATACTCAAGGAGTGGGTGATCATCCACTTTGCAGGAGACCTCCAATCCCATTCTAAGCTATTTGTGGAGGGAGGGGCACCATCCCCAAGGACTAGCATTTTGGATGTGTTTCAGGCAGCTGTGGGAGAGATGAATCAGTGAGAGTCGTCCCCCCCACCCTTGCACCCATGGAAATCTAGGTGTGATCCAAGCCTTTGGCTACTTAATAAAGCAAACAAATAGACAAACAAACCTACAGTGCCATCCTAAACAGCACTACATCCTTCAAAACCCACTGACTCTGTTTAAGATTAGAAAAGAGTCCAGTAGCACCTTAAAGACTAACAAAATTTGTGGTAGGGTATGAGCTCACGAAATCTCATACCCTACCACAAATTTTTATTAGTCTTTAAGGTGCTACTGGACTCTTTTCTACTGCTACAGACAAACCTGGCTACCCATCCTGAGCAATCTGTTTAGAATGGCATTACTAGGCTTCCACCATAGGAATTATATACCTCACCATTAATTAACTGGGCAAGAATGTACTCTGCTGCCACCTAGGGGCCAATAATGAATGTCTACTCAAATTGACCTGGCCCCACTGCTGGACCTCCTGATGGCACCTGGTATTTTTGGCCACTGTGTGACAGAGTGTTGGACTAGATGGGCCATTGGCCTGATCCAACATTGGCTTCTCTTATGTTCTTATGTTACTCTGCCCCGCCTCCTGCTGTTCAAGTAATACATAAAACAGCAGTTCCCAACCTTCTCAGTATGGTGACCCACAAGTCCAAATTTACTTGGTATGCTGACTCAAGGTTTTTTTTTGGCAATGTGAGCACCCATCTAGTTCCAGCATTCCATGTTATACAGTGGCTAACCAACAAACATTGCACAAAAGGCACAGCTGCCTGCACTATAGACCCCAGGCAAGTAGCATTCTGACAACACAGTCTTTGCATATGGAGGTTACATTCCAGCCTTTGACCACCCTCTCCTTCTCCATTACTCTCTGTACTCCCCCCTTAAGATTCTAAGGAACTCACTCTAGTAACCATCAGGAAATGATTTACTTGATCAACATGTATATGCAGTGAAGAAAAAATATCAACTAATGTAAGACATGGAAGATACTGTTTCCAGGGTCAGATCTTGGTTTCCTAATACAAAAGAGAGCAATGGAAGGAGCAAAGGTGACCCTTAGAGAGGGCTAGCCTGCAATCCACTTTCAGAAGCTTCACGACCCACTTTTGGGTCCCAGCCCACTGGTTTGAAAACACTGGCATAGAAGCGAAAGCTGAAATTGTTGGTGGTAGAATAACAAAAGTGGAACGCATTCCATTTCACTGGTATTTGAATCATGTCACTCCCAAGGTTTACAGAAAAATCTGAATTTTTTTAAAAAAAACACAGGGGATTTAACTCCCCCCACAAATAAAGTCACATTCTTTGTGCACGGGCAAATAACACTCTTTTTCCTTCTTGCCTGTGTGGTGGAGCCTAAGAGCTGTGACAGGCCATTTGGGAGCTGCTCCATGCCCTGCCACAGTAGCAGCAGAAGCCAGAAGCTATTCAGGGTCCTGCTGCAGTGGATGCTGGGAACCGCTCCAGGCTGAGTGGCTCCCAGACACTGCTGCTGGCAGGCTCCAAGGCTCAGCAATGGGGGGAGATGGGATCCCCCCTGCAAGTTTTGCGGGGTGCTCTACTTGTATATTTTAATTCTCAGCCTTTGTTAATCAAGCAAATGTACACATTCCTGGTACATGAGCATTGAACCAGTTGAGGGAGTAGAGGGAAAACAAATGGCTGGTACTAATTTAAAATGGGGCAAGATATGAGAAGGGAGCACTCCCTGGAGAAGACCCTGATGCTGGGAAAGATTGAAGGTCAAAGAAGACGGGGACGGCAAAGGATGAGATGGTTAGACAGTGTCATCGATGCAACGAACATGAAATTGAGCCAGCTTCAGAGGACGGCGGAAGACAGGAGGGCCTGGCGGGAGATGATCCATGGGGTCGCGAAGAGTCGGACTCGACTGTGCGACTGAACAACAACAAAAGATATCTCACTGCATTTATATCCCAGCTTTCTTCTATCATGGAACTCAGGGAAATTTACATAGGGTTCCCAAGAAGTTTCTGTAACAGGTAGCCTCTAGTTCTGCCCTCCAGGCATCCCAGCACATCCCTGCATATAGGGGAAGCAGCCAGATACTAAGCAGCATCAGCCAATGAGATGTTGTGGAACCTGGGAGGGGGAGGATGAGAGAAGCAGAGGAAAAGTCTGTAACTGCATCATATAGCATTTGGGAAAGTGACATAGAAATAGGGGAAAACTAAGAGATTAGTTAGGTAGTTAGGCTTCACTCAATGAAGGAAAAGAACTCAGACATATACAGCATAGGTACATAAAACTCAGGGGCCAATAAAGAGGCAGGAACAGAGGAAGTATTCTGTGTTACCTCAGAGAAATAGTGGGTTAGTGACTTGTGAGGGGACTGAGAGAAATACCCAGTAGACAAGCAATACTATTTCCATATGCTGACACCTTTGGTTGATGAGAAGTTCCAAGTGTAATAATTTTCTCTCTTTCTCTGGCAGAAACAGCCTGTCAATTCAGTAAAGTTGTGGGTATGTGAAACTGTAACTGTTTGAAAACAGATTTCTGCTATCCTTTGCTGTAAATAACCAGTAACTTGTTATATTCCTTGCCTTGCCCCCTAAACCACTAAGCACTGAGCCCTTCAAAAGGAGAGACAATAAACTTATTTTTTGTGTTGTGAATAGAAGGTGTTGGTATGAATACTCCAAGAGAAAGAGAGGAGAAAGCAATAAATTACCTCAGATTCCTATTTTACCTCCCCAGGCTTCCTCTGTAATAGAAGTATATAACCTAGCACAGTTATTAGTTAACATTGCTTCACTGACCATTCACAACCCACGTCATAGCTAAAATCAATTTGGTCACTGGTAGAAGGTGTGACAGGAAGGGTGGGGAGCAGAGAAAGCACCTGTCACAATATCCCATCTAGGCATTAACTAGGCTGCTATATCACATGTTCTATAAATATACCCTATGGATTAAAGGCGCTCACTGCACATCAATGCATGTTTTTCTTGGCCAACCAGAAAACAGCTCCTCTCAATGTGTACCAGAAGGTGCAACCATGATTCAGCTCTGGGGACAGGAAAGATTCTATACTGAACTGACAAGAAGTACACTGGTTTTGGAGGCATGTGCATCGATTACTGTTCATGCATTCACTTCAAAAAACCCTGTTTGTCTGAATCTTCACTGTTACATGCTCAATCTGTTACTATAAAGGCCCACTTGAGAAACAATAGAAATCATAACAAAAACATTAAAGGCTGTCAAAAATAAAACCCACCTCTCGCATACCAAAAGTATAAGACCTCTCACCCACATCAGAACAAAAATATACTTACATAAAATAGGTCATATTTGCTTCCTATTATAACCAGTGGGATTGGAAAAGGGTCAATCAGTTCACGATCCTGTGAAACAAATGGCAATTCATACTTGCTGAGGAGGCCTAATGCTTCAAAATATTATGTACGAGTTTCCAAAGTCATATCAGAATCTGAGTAGGTGAAGAGGAGATAGGTCATAAGTAGGAAAAACTGTCAATAAAGCTATATGGATGCCTCTCCACCTGATGCATGCTTGATGACCTTTGGGTGTGATAGTTCCCATCTTGTTAAGAACACAGTAGCTTTTGCATTTTTCTATTATCTCGTTGTCAAAAAATCTGCATTCCCTCTGAAGCGCTATAAGCATCATTATAACTTGGCTGGAACAGGAAGACTTGGGGAGAGACAATGGCTACATTAAGAATTATTTTTCCTTTCATTTAGACGCAATCCAAAGGAATGAGTCTCTGTAGCTTGAGCTTAAACATGCTTGAGCTTCAGGTAGGCAGCATAATTACAGCTCAGATTAGGGTCACAATGCACAGGGCAACACTTTCTTTGTCAACCTCCCCTCCCTTAGAAGCCTAACTGAGGAGCTGCTATCAGAGCATATGAAGAGTAACAGGCTCTGTATATATAGAGGCTGAAGTGGAGGAAGCTTGAGTGGGTCATCTATTTGTGTTCGTCAAGCCACCCTAACTATGCCCTCTATAGCCAAACTGTAGGTGTGTTAGAACCAATATAGCAAGTCAAGCAAGCAAGGAAGGAACAAAGAAAAAATATGGCTGTCAAATGCTGACTGACTACTATACAATGGATTGAATCCTATCAACTTACCCAGTTTTGTCCACATGGATCTCATGATCCCTGAAATAGCCATTTTGATAGTCAAAAGGGGCTGTTCCTCCATCTTTCACCAGTAGAAAGTTGGAAGGATCCAATCCAATGTACTGGCCTATTGAAACTTATAGAGAATGCAGATCTACCTGTACTGTGCCTTTAAAAAAATAGTTTTCATTTATATTACCGTTTGCTTTATTGTATTATTTCACATATCTTCTGTGTACTATAGAATATATATATAAGTTGTTTAGACACTGTGTACGCTCAACATTTGTACAAGATGAATGCATGATGCCAGGCACCTTTACAATTGCATCGTGTGCAATCTATTTTACTTGCTTTAAGACAGCACATTTACAATTGAATTTCAAGGGCTGATGTTAACATCCCTGAAATTTTATAATTTAATTAGTTGTCACATTATCAAAAGGCACTGAGTTTGTGATAGACACTTGAATAAATGCAAAGTATAGAGTCATTTTGAAGACTGTTATAACTACACCCTTTCCTTAAAATCTGCAGCTTCATCAAGTAGCTTAGTTTTCACCTTTATTTCAAAAGATTATAAAATCAATATCAAAGCGCTTCTTTAAAACTCTGTTTCTTTTGATCGTTGTAACATGCCATAACAATCACATTAGATGTCTAACAAGAATATATAAGAAACCTTCTTTCCTTGTTTCTGCTCCTACTGAATTTTCATTAAATTGCTATAATTTTCCACTGAACAAGTTCTTATACATCAAATGGATTTTCAGTCATGCATAAAAAATTTAAAGGACTTGTTTATGATTTTCACATCAATTATATTTAACTGTGTATGAGCCATCTCTGACATCTGAAGAAAATACTAGTTCTTACTGGGTGATCCTTTGGCAAATTGTTCCATATTTTCTGTTTAATTTCATTAGCTGCTTTAGGATTGGTCTGTCCAAGTTTTGTTATTATTTTTTCTACATGCTTCCTGGTGACTTGTAAAAGACTCTCCATGGCTGGCCAGAGTGCATTTGGTACTGAAAGATCCAAAACAAGAACTATAGCTAATGTCCTATAAAAAAACACAAAGAAATGACAACATATTTTCTAATTTTTAAAAAGGGCATCAAGTATGTTTTATACACATGATAAACTGCTAAATTCTAAAGATGAGCAGTTAAAAATAAAGTATTACAAAAGCATTAAGTATGAAGGTAAAGAATGTTCATCTGGAGAATGACCTGAACTATCATTGCTATTTTGTATTTCACTGTTCAGACATTACGTTTATATAAAAGATAATATGTCTCTATGCCCCAAGGTAAACCACCAACGCAAAATACTGTTTCATTAGTACCAAGATCTTATTTTGCCTGAATTTTCAACCTTCACCTAATTTCATTGATGAAGGCAGCCGGACACACTGACATCTAGTCTTCGCCTGCTCTGAGGCACTTCTCTAAGTCCTAAATGACAACTGCAAAAAATTAAGCGACCTCATCCATGCTTCTATCTTTTGAGCATCAGTACAGTTGACAGATTCTTGACATTATTTGCCCAACAACGCTGAAAGAGAGAGATCTCCGATTCAGTAGGAAAAGGCATTTCTATATGTACACCTTCTTCTCCAACTGTCTGTTGATATGGCTTTTCCTTTCCCTCAGATGAGAGTAGCAAAGTGATAAAGCCACTTAGAAGAGGAAAAATTCCATGCAGCTCAGGGCTCCCTCATCCACAGGACTGTTTAAGACTCTTACTGCTAATACCTATAAGGAGGAATTCAGATATGTATGTTGTTCACTGCTCAATGGCAAGGTTCATGTGTAACAGCAAATCACAGTTTGCACTTATGGGAACAAGCTTGGAAATTTCTTGGGCTTGCATACCCCTTCCTTCATGCACACATACTGCTGGAAAATTAAGTACTTCTGAGGCAACAATAATTTGTTCTTTCATCCAAATCAGAAGCAATGGCTTGTTCTCTGCCTGTCCAGGACTCCCAACCAGTGTTCCCTCTAAGCTGAGTTAGTGTGAGCGGGCTCACAGTTTTTTAGCCTCCGGCTCACACATTTTTGCCTTAGCTCAGGAAGGGTGACTCCAGAGCAAACTAATTTATGCAGCAGCCAAATCGCTTGCTCACCACTTTAATGCCAGTAGCTCACAAAGTAGAATTTTTGCTCACAAGACTCCACAGCTTAGAGAGAGCATTGCTCCCAACTAAAATTCAATCCTGGTTTGAGGGTACGGAACAAGCCGGTTTGTGAATTAGATGAAACAACAAACTATGGTTTGCATGCAAAGCAGAAACTGTACACAAAGGGATGAGGGGGAGCCTGGGGATTCCCTCAACTCATTCTCACGCGTGATTCTTGCCAATCTCTCATCAACAGTTAACATAACTTTCAATAACTTATAGATGAAGGTATGAACCACTGAAATTATTGTTTTGAGGTAGTAGGCAACTTCATCTGGGTTGTTTGACTTCTGATGGCTGATTAAGATATATAAGTCATAATTTGAGGTGGCATTTTAGAGAGACAGAAAGTCTGAGTGAGCCCTATGAGCTCCCCTAAGAATATTAACAGAGGGGAATGGAAGCTCCAGTTTGTGTGAAGCCTTGCACTTTAGACCAAAAAGCTGATCTAAGGAGAATGCATCCAGATTAATACTCCAAGCCAAAAAAGTATTTACATCTTCCAATCCTAATAACTGATTAATGGCTTCAGTTTTCCCAGATAGGAGCTCTAAAGAATAGGGAACCCATTCATTTAGAAACGAATCACTTTTAACTTTTCTACAAGTGGGAGAATTGGGTTTGATTCCCCACTCCTCCACTTGCAGCTGCTGGATGACTTTGGGTAAGCCATAGTTCTCTCAGAGCTGTTCTCTCAAGGATAGTTCTGGAAAGAGCTCTCTCAGCCCTGCCTACCTCACAGGGTGTCTGTTGTGGGGAGGGGAAGAGAAAGGAGTTTGTAAGCCGCTCTGAGACTCCGAATGGACGGGGTATAAATCCAATCTCTTCTTCTTCTAAAAGACTTGGATATAGCAGCCATTTTAATAACTAAATGCCCCATGGGAAACAGATAAAAGAAGCTCAATTGATAATTTTATCCTTAGATTTATCCTTAGATTTATCCTTAGATAAACGAAGCACAGCTTAGTGATGAATGCTGGGCTTGATTGTCATGAAATCCTGTTTCAAATTCCTATTCAGCCATGATGTTAATGGGTGGGCCCCTCAATATTTCTCGATTTAACCTACCTCAAGGATTGATGGGAGACTAAAATACCCTTGGGTCAAGGCATTCAAAGCCGTTTACAATTCAAAATATGTAAATACACTGTAAACAGTAAAAGTTATCTCAGGCTACTGGTTCTTTTGTTATCAGTGGAAAGCATAAACTTTCTGGCCTGGATATTTCCTCTTTGCCTTCCCCTCAGGTCAAACTGGTTAGCTCCAGGGAAAGTATGGAGGGGAAGGTCCATTTGGTTTCTCTCAGAACAACGGCAGTTCCTGAGCTCTTTCTTTTAACAATTCACCAACATTTTGGTACTGACAAATTGATCTTCCTTCTTTCCGTCTCTTGGGAGACTCATGTTTTTAGTTTTCAGCCTGGAGACAGTGTGTGTACATTATACTCATTTCTATACAATGTCGGTCACAAGTATTTTGTATTGGGTTTTAATCACTGTGAGCTACTTTGGGATACATTTTTTGCCTGAAAAGCAGTGTAAAAAATAAGATATGCTTATTTCATTTTTTACCAGTAGCATCTAAATTAACAGTATACCACCATTCAGTCCCACAAATACAGTAAAAAATCTGTACATAGCATTTTTTATAAAACAGAATGCAATGACTTCTGAGAAAGATTTATGAACATTTCAAAGATAATACTGTTACGGTTTAAAGATCTTATCTGCAACAGAAACAGCAAAGACTTAATTCCTACACAAGGGAAACAGAGATTGAAAGTCCCAGGTACTTCATTCATTACCTGATGTTACTAGTAGTTATTGGGATGGGAATCAAGTCCAACAACGAAGTTCCACCACCTAGTTCCCAAAAATGAGCAATGTCCTTGGGCTGCAAAAGAATTTCTTCATATTAGTTACTTGTGTGATATTCTGATGCACCAGTGTCTTCAATATTCATATCTCTGACAACAGAGATATGCTTTTCACATATAAGATAACAATCCTCCAAAGAAGCCTAGCAATCTTACAACTTGAATACAAGTATATTGATGAGGAGTTGAGAGTAGGATTTGCAAGTGAAGCATAAACAAACAATTGTTGGCAGGTCTTTAAAATCAACAATGCAAGTTTACCAGTGTTGCAATAAAACACATGATGACCTGGGAAACAACAGGCTGGTCAGTTTGACTTCTGTTATTGGGAAGATATTAGAGCAGCTTTTAAAGGGATCGATCTGTAAGCATCTGAAGGACCACTTAGTGATCCAGGGAAATCAGCGTGGTTTTGTCCCCAACAGATCTTGTCAGACCAACCTGATTTCCTTCTTCGATCATGTGATTAGCTTACAGGATCGTGGGAACTCTGTTGATGTGATTTACCTGGATTTCAGTAAAGCTTTTGATAAGGTTCCCCATGACATTCTGATGGGAAAACTGGAAGACTATGGACTGGACTATAGGACAGTTCGGTGGATAGGGAACTGGTTAGAGGACCGCACCCAAAGAGTGGTGGTCAATGGCGTTTCATCAGATTGGAGGGAGGTGTCCAGTGGGGTGCTGCAGGGCTCGGTTTTGGGCCTGGTACTTTTCAATATTTTTATCAATGATCTGGATGAAGGGGTAGAAGGGCTACTCATTAAATTTGCTGATGATACCAAATTGGGAGGAGTAGCAAACACCCAAGAAGATAAAGTTAAAATTCAACAGCTCCTCCCCCTCCTGTGCTGTTGTCCTAATCCGAATTGGGCCCCTGCAGTGCTTAAAAAAATCATCCCCTGGCACTTGCTGTATAATAAACTGCTTTATCTGGAAGTCCTGTAGGATTGGGGAATTGCCTAGATCCACTACATCCCTTTAGAGTTATCTGAAAGAAAGCTAAAAACCTTTGCATTTAAGCAGCATGTAAACCAATGATGTTTCTTCACTTGAAAATTCATTCTTCAGGATAGAAGTGTTAGGGCTAAACTAGACAGGCTTTTTAAATGTTGTGTCTGACCCGCTCTCCCTGGTCATGCCTGGTTTGGCACTAATACATCTGTCCTGAAGAATTACTTTTCCTGCAAGTCTTTTGGAGCTTGGATTGACAAAAGCTAAATCTATAGTAACCCAACGCCTAATAGATATAGAGGTCCAGACGGAAGAAGCGCTCTTACCCTTAAGATATAGAGCCTTAAAATCCTGGACAGGTTTTGCCCCCGCTCCATATCTTTCTAACATCATATATGACAGCTATAGATGGGTTTTTTCTAGAGCACGTTTTGATGCCCTGCCCTCTAATTTGTTACAACGAAGGTTTCGGGCGCTGGCCTAGTTCCCAAAGATGTTGCCCGTGTACAAATCTTGAAATAGAGTCGGTCTCACATATATTGTTACATTGTAACTTTTATGCTATGGAGAGACAGCTGTTAATTTTTCCATTGTTGTCCAAATTCAAACCCTTGGATGTTCAGTTGAAAATTGCGGAACTGAGGATTTTAACTTTTTTGCTGGAAGACCGAATAGAGAGGATATCTTTAGCTGTGGCAAAATTTTGCTGTCTGGCCCTTAAAAAGAGGAAGCTTATACCCTAGTTAGTGATCTGATGACAAATTAGCGTTGTATTGGTGTGTTTCAATGATATATTGTATTGTTCCTGTATTCGTTTAAAGGTTTTATATATATTCGTTATATGTATTTACTAGCTACTTATGTATTTATTGTGTATTTTATTATTATTCTTGGAATCGTTCTATTGGCTGGTCGCTTGACCGTATTAATAAACTTGACTGACTGACTGACTGCTTCATGGTTCTTTTCATTTATTATTATTCTTGGAAACGTTCTATTGGCTGGTCGCTTGACCGTACTAATAAACTTGACTTGACTTGACTTTTCTGGAGAAGAAATTTTATTGGCTTACATGCAAAGGTTTTTAACTTTCTTCCACAGCTGATAACTCCAAAGGGATGTAGTAGACCCTAGCCAATTCCCGTATCCTGCAGGCCCTTCCAGATAAATCAGCTTATTCCACAGCAATGGCACAATTCGCAGGGTTCAAAATACTTACTAGGAAATGAAAAATGTCCTCAGCTAACAAGACCATTCATACTAAACTGTTGTTTGGAATGGAAAGACTGTGACTTGTTTCTATTATGATTTATTATTGCACTTTGGCCTATTGATTTATATCATACTTGTTATGTTTATTTGATTTATATTCTACTTGCTGTTATGCTTATTTGATCATTATATACTTGCTTACTTGCTTGTGTGTTATTCTTTTTTGCCAGTGGTGTTCTTTTTTGTTTGCCTGCATTGTACACTGGCTTCCCCCCCCTCTTTTTTTGGCTATTCCACAGCAATGGCACAATTCGCAGGGTTCAAAATACTTACTAGGAAATGAAAAATGTCCTCAGCTAACAAGACCATTCAGACTAAACTGTTGTTTGGAATGTGATTACACTATGAGTCTGTATAGCACGAGTGTCAAACTCATTTGTTATGAGGGCCGGATCTGACAGAAAAAGGGAGCAGTGGCGCAAGGGATTTTCCCCCTGCTTAACTATAACACTTGAACTGCCAAGCTTTGGCAGTTCTAGCCCCGTGCTGGTGTGAGCAACCAAGCCTTGTCCTATCTCATCGTCTACCCAGCGATTCGAAAGCTTCGACAAGTAGATAAATTGGGGACCACCCGTAAGGGGGTGGGCACACCACTCCCTTTGGGAAGGTGTTAGCTGCCGAGTGTGACTTCTGAGGCGCAGCAGATCGAAAGATGCTGTTTCGGCTTCCCTGCAGTGGAGCGAGTCAGCCAGGCGGTGGCAGTGTGGCAGCACGACATCAAGAAGCCCTGACGTCATCAGCCAGCCTACAAGAACACATGCCGTCGGAACACGACTGATCCAGCCCGCAAATGAAGCCCCGGCTAGCTGCAATGTGTGTGTAATTAAAAATGCTGTATGTTTGTTAGTCCAATTGTCAAAGAGTAACTGTAAATCGCTCTGAGCCCGCAGGTGTGTGGGAAAGAGCGATCAATAAATCGAAAGTATTATTAAATGTTACTTCGTCGGGGCGGGCCATGTATGCCATAAAATTTAATGCCAGCTACCAAAGATATAAACTTTACAAAGGACACAGGCAAACCCAATTAACAGTATTATTTTTTACTCAAAATACAAACAAAAGCAATTGATTCTTAGTACTTAAAGAAACTGATTTGCTGGGGAACCCATAAAAGCCCCAATAAATGTATTTAATCATATGCAGGGGTATCTTAGACTTCAATACAATACTTCCTCACTGAGCGGCAGTCAGAGGAGGCGGGAGGGGAAAAAACACCCAACCTCCTCTTTCTCTGCCTTCGCTTCTATTCCCCCCACCACTTAATCCCACCCTCTAGACATTTCTTTTCTATTTCTTGACAGCTTTGACCACACATACACCTCACTACATGCGCCTGCTCGCACCCCCAAGCAGTCTCCTGCCTTCCCTCCCTCACGCCAATTGCTCGTGGGCCAGGTAAGAGCCCTGGATGGGCTGCATCCAGCCCCTGGGCCTTATGTATGACACCCCTGCTCTAGAGCACCTACTGGACAGTGCAATACAGCTTATAACATGCAGTACAGCTTATCCTGCATGCCTGTAACAGCCATGATGACCTACAGACCTATAGTAGATTGTCAAAATACTTACTGTGTTATGTCCTTTAGCTCTTCTTCCAAAAGTATATTCCAAAGCTAAAGTTGGTTTTGGAATTTCATCCCTAATAAATCAAGATAAACCCCCTCAAAAAACAACAACAACACAACCCTGTCAAGTTCCACTGAAATTATTCTTGGATAAAGCTACTGTTGTTCTAACATCAACCTAGCTTATTCACAAGTATAGAAGAAGGACAAACAAAACATTGATACCCTACTGACATGCTACTGAAATGACAGCACTGAAAATGAGTAAAAGTTGTATCCTATGATTCTAATTCACTACGTCTTTCTTCAATAGAAGACTTCCTGCAATGGAGAATTACTTTTTCTCATGAAGAGAAGTCTTTCATTCTTGGATAAAGTTTTCCTCTGTTAAAGGAAAGTCTGATGGCGAGAAGTCAGGAGCCAGGTTAAAGGAAAGAAATCATAGAAGCCAACGCTAAAGGTGTGAACCTATGCACACTTGCAATTAACACTGCAATCCTATGCAGAGTTATTTCAGTCAAAGCACATTGATTTCAATTACCATAACTGGAGCGATTCTGCACACAATGGCAGTGTAACAGTACAATGGTAAACAGAGTTACACCCTTTTAAGTTCATTGAAGGCAGTGAACTTAGAAGGACGACTTATTTTCAAGTAAACATGATGTGCCAGAACTACAGCTTGTAAAATTCTTTGCCTGCATTACCAAAGCACAGACAACAGAAATCGAAGAAATTTCTGGAATCCTCCCCCCAGTTTCTACATGTTTATTAACAGAACATGAACATTTATCTTCATTTTTACTCAGGTCCAGCTAAGGATGCAGGACGTATACCAATACATTAGAAACATTACTAATATATAAAATATATTAAACCACACCTATACCAGCTTACTAAAATTTGGCCCAAATAATAAATTTCATAAAATACCAAAATTTTGGGAAAGAGAATGTTATAATAGTAGTTTTTCCCTAGAAATTAAAAAACAACATGGAACATTTTTGTTATGTCATTACAGTATAAACATTATATCAATTTAAGTGTTGCCTCTGTGTAGAACCTTCTCGACTGCCACAGATATTATTATGAGGCCAAAGACAGACAGGCAATTTGGGAAAACCAAAGGGTCAAAGTCAGCCTCACTGTGGATGGCAGATTTCTTTTTCCATAGCTATGTGTCATTAGGAAAAAAAGGGGCATAGAACTTGGAAAGAAAATTGTGGGCTACTGATTCTCAAGATTGAAAGAAAAAGTGTTGCTACTGACTGGTCACAGTTGATTCTCAGATGAAGCTCTTTTGAGAAACAGGAGAAAGAAAGAAGGTCAACACGCCCCATCAGAACAGAACATTAATTATATGGTTGTGCCTTTTAAAAACAGAACATTTATTATATGGCTGTGCCTTCTATCAGGCAATGTGGGAGTTAAACTGTTGGACTTTATTCTGGAACTGTGTGCCTAGGCACAAAATATTGGACTGTATATATAGTGTCTTTAAACCTACATGGCCTTTGTGTTCCACTTTTTGAGATTCTGTCTCCTTGTAATGTTTTTGTATGAAGAAAACTATGGAGAAAGATATATTTTTGAATAATTTCATGTTTTGTACAGCAGTTGGATTGGAACTGTGAAGTTCATGTAGAGCACACAGTTACAGTGCTGGTGTTCACATATCATATAGTTGGTTGTGTTTCACCACAGTTGTTTTAGAGAACATAGGATGGATCTGATGGATTAATTTTTATTAACAGAAGAGTCTTCTGCTTGGCCTCAGGAGCCTTCTCTCTTGCAGAAAGAGCCTTGGTTAGTGGACAATCCCACCCATATTTCCATTATTTGAAAGCACCTTGTTTTACCATAGCCCTAAAAAGTTGTTGATAATAGTTAGAATACTGAGTGCCCAGGAACTATAAAATACTTCTCAAAACTTAACACATACCTGTCAAGACACAGCAATATAATAGTTAATAGTAGTTTTTCCCTAGAAATTAAAAAACAACATGGAACATTTTTGTAATGTCATTACAGTATAAACATTATATCAATTTAAGTGTTGTAATGCATTCTTCTAATCAATCCCCCCCAATGTGTCTGATTATTATAAACTTACACAATTATTTGTAGTCTGATTACTGGAAAGTTAGCTGCCAACTTTCTATCAGAGGGTAGCTACACTGCTATTATTATTATTATTATAAACTAGAAGAGATGACAAATATAGTTATAGAAACAGAATACTTAGAAATAAAGACATCACAGTAGCAATCAGTATATCCGACTGTATTCATTTGGGAAATCACTGGTAATTGTAAATAACAGGTTAATCTAATGATTTACTCCTAGTGGAGTTGCTGTAAACTAATGAAATGGAAATCAAAGAATTCATGAAATATACATAAACATAATACAAATTGGGTGTATTGCTGCTGTAATAATACAGGTGCTAGGTGAGACAGCTTACTATGAAAAATGGTCCTTAACATTAATTGCTACAGGTTTTTTTCAAAGGAAAAAAAAAATCAATTTCCCTAAGGCTCAACATAGCTTATTTTTTAATTGATTGGCAGTTAATTTGATAATGCTGGTTACCAACATTTCTAACATCTTTATATTAGGTACACTGAGAGAGCAATCTTCAGCTGGTCTACTTGGAAGTAAGTCCCATTTTATTCCATTCTTAGTATTCTTAGGATTGTAGATTTCTTTAAGTAATTACAGTGGTGCTACCATGTTAGTCTGTTGCAGCAAAACCAGAATGGAGTCAAGGAACATCTTAAAGTCTAATACATTTATTAAAGCATGGGCTAGCGCTCTCTTCATCATATGTATCAAATAAAGTCTCAGTCATTATTATATACATAGTGGAACTGGTGGAGAGGAATTCTGAACAAAGGTCAAAAGACTATCAAATACATGAGGAATTCAGAGGTGTTTACTTAAACAGATGTGTTCAGAACAGCAACGGCAATCAGAATATTGTCAAGCTGACATCTAGCAATACAGAAGTATCATTGAATATATGAATATAGGTCAGTTTTAATCACCTAGCCATTTAAACAGCAGGAGTCTATTTTCACTCAGGGAGGTTCCAAAATATGAAATTATACACCAAATAATTACTGAAAATGGAACATACTTCATTTAAGAACTGGCTGTTTTAGCCGCTATTAAGCAGTGGAGTGCCTAAATTTGCGGATGATACGAAGTTGTTCAGGGTGGTGAAAACCAGTGAGAAGGAAGGGTATTGAAAACAGATCTGCCAATATCATAATCCCCTTATATAAATCAATGGTGTGACCTCATTTGGAATATTGTGTGCAGTTCTGGTCACCACACCTTAAAAAGGATATTATAGCTTTGGAAAAAGTACAGAAAAGGGCAACTCGAATGATAAAGGGGTTGGGACACTTTCCCTATGAGGAAAGGTTAAAGCGCTTAGGGCTCTTTAGCTTGGAGAAACAACGACTGAGGGGTGACATGATCGAGGTTTATAAGATTATGCATGGGATAGAGCAGGTAGAGAAAGAGGTAATTTTTTCCCTTTCTCACTATATAAGAACTTGTGGGCACTCAATGAAATTGCTGAGTGGTCGGGTTAGAACGGATAAAAGGAAGTACTTCTTCACCCAAAGAGTGATTAACACATGGAATTCACTGCCACAGGAAGTGGTAGCGGCTACAAGCATGGGCAGCTTCAAAAGGGAACTAGATAAGCATATGGAGCACAGGTCCATCAGTGGCTATTAGCCACAAGGTATAGATAGGGGCTCTGGGGCAAGTGATGCTCTGTCTTCTTGGTGCTTGGGGTGTGTGTGTCAACAGTGGGAGGGCTTCTAATGTCCTGGCCCCACTGGTGGACCTCCTGATGGCACCTGGTATTTCCGGCCACTGTGTGACACAGAGTGTTGGACTGGATGGGCCTTTGGCCTGATCCAACATTGGCATCTCTTATGTTCTTATTTTGCATATATACAGATTTCTGAACCCATGCAGTGCAGGAAAGATTTTGTCTCACTAGAATGGATAATTTCAACTATTAACTATTTTTAAACAATTTCATTTAATTTAAATGTATGGTAATTTGGTAAAATCAGTTACCCCATTTTTATTTCCAATAAAGAATATGGATCTTTCCCAACATTCCAGTCCATCTCTGTCACCTTCCTGGTTTTCTCTTTGCTCAACTTCAGCTTTAGCAATATCCCACAAGGTGTCACTGGGAAAGAAAACAAAACAAAAATGCTTTCATACAAAATAAGCTTCTAAGACCCCCCTACTTCATATAGTCTCTTCTTCCTTTCTCACTGAAAATGTGCTTTGTGAAAAATTAAGTTTATTTATTTATTAAATTAGATTTACTCGGCCACCCTTCCCTTGAAGTAGGGTTCAGGGCAACTTACAACAAAATAATGTACAAATCTCAGTTTAAAACTAAATTAAAACAGCCCAATAAGTACCAATAAATAAGAACAATATATGTACAATATATGAGATGGTGGAAAGAGTTCCAACTCCCCAGCCTCCCTAGGAGGAGGGGTTACGAGGGATGGGGACATGTAAAAGTGCCAAAGGATGCCCTATCGCTGTCCTCAACTGAAGGCCCAGTGGAACGTTTCTGCCTTGCAAGCCCTATGGAAAGGTAACAACTCCTGCAGGGCATGGGAATCTTCTAGCAGAGCATTCCACCAGCCAGGGGCCAGGGCTGAGAAAGTTATGGTAGGCATGTCACAGGAATATTTGACTGTGAGCAAAATATCTGCAGGATAACTTCGCTAATAATTTATTTTTGTCAGCTATACATAAATATATTTGGTTGGAGGCTTTCCTCCTGCAAATATGTTTGTTAAGTAAAATGACAATATTCACCAAGGAGACTTCATCAAAGTGAAATGCACAATGAATAAATCTATCCATATAATCCATCATAGGAAAATGCAGAAGCCAAAGAAGTCCATCATAGGAAAATGAAGACAAAGAATAAATATACAAAATAAATATCCAAAAAGTCCAACAGTTTTCCTATGAAAACACCAAGTCACAGCCGATTTATGGCCAACCCCACAGGGTTTTCAAGGCAAGAGACATTCAAAGGTAGCCCAATGCCTGTCTCAGGATAGCAACCCTCATATTCCCTGGTGGTCTCCCATCCAAATACTAACCAGGGCCAACCCTGCTTAATTTCCGAGATCTCATGAGATCAGGCTAGCCTGGGCTATCCAGGCCAGGGCTTTTTCCCTTTAACAGAGCTACATTTGTACAAATGCACGTGTCTCTAACTAACCCTCCTTAATGAATTAAATGCAGTCCACTGAAAAGCAAAAGGCACAACAAGGTTTGAGATAGGCTTATGATACAGTCACTTCAACTTTTACTGAAATTAAACAATGTATTTATGATGAATTTCCAAGGTGAAAATGCACTATTTAAAAATGTCCTCAATAAAGATGAGAAAAGGCAAAAAAGCATCCTTCGGCTTGGAAAAATAGTGAGAAAGCGTGTGTGTTGGTATGAAGCAACATGCAAACTGCAATAATTCAGTTCATGTACTGCTAACTGCAGTTTGAGGCCCAAATTCCATATGACATGGTAACTCCGTGAAGTCCAGATGTGTTAGGTTACCCTAAAAAGCAGCCACAAAACAAGCATGGAGCAGACCACGATAGTGGAAAGACTATGTGTATTAACCTTGTGCTGGTGCCTTGAACATGAATGATCACTTGGGCAGTATGATAAAATGCCAGAGTGATTAAAAGATAGGCACAATAAGGGTTCCCATCTTTCCCACTTACCAGGGCTTAAAGCAACTGTAGGAACAGGGGGTATATGAAATTTTGACCTGAATCACAAAAACTAGAAGATTGGGGGGAGGGGGATAATCAGACCTCATTCCAAATCTTAGTTTTTGCTGTGACTAATTATGTAGCCTAAAGCAAGTTTCTCTTTAGTTTTATATCAATAAAGTTTTATATCAATAAAGTAGAAATAGTAACCACAGGAAACACAATACAGGTGGCAAACGCTTTGCAAACAAAAAGGGGTATGGAAATGATTAATTAGCAATTCTGAACACGGCCAAATCTATGCATATGTAAACACAGACACTGGAGCCATGAACCCAGATCTTCCTACAAACCTTAGAAAAACCCCAGGTTTGCAGAAAAATCTGAACTCTTTAAAAACAACAACTGGGGGGGGGGGTTAATATCCCCCCAAATAACAGAATCAGCCTTCTGTAGCTATTGCTCAGCAACCAAACTGTATTACCAGTTGAACACTATGGTCTCTGTCAGTAAAAGGCAGGGCCCTTTCCAGCGCTATTCTGACCTCTGAGGGAGGAGTCATCGGGGCCAGGCCTGGGCGACTTAATATCATGCAAACTCCATGATTCAGCCAGACTCAGTTGCTTGCTACTATTCAAAAGCAGCCACACCACAAAAGTTAGTGTGCTGCAGGTTCAAATCCTTGTTCTGCCAAGATGCTCAGAGTGACTTTGGGCCAGTCACAAATTCTCAGGACAAGTTACCTCACAAGGTAGTTGTGAGGAAGAGAATGATATAAGCTTCTCTGTGTCCCTATTGTGGAGAAAGGTGGGGTATAAGTGAAGTAAATAAATAATAAATATAGCTGAGGGGCAGTTAAAAGGCAGGATGTTTGGTGCATCGTAAAGACAGGAGACAGGCAAAGGTGGGGATATGGGAG